TCTGAAAAACAGGATTCTGCTGATGGAGTGGATTGTGCTGCGATGAAATCATTCTATAAAATTAAAGATGAACTGACAGTAACCGCAACTGATGACACTGTACTGCGTGGCACAAAGATTGTTGTCCCCCACTCTTTACAAGTCAGGGCAATATCACTTGCACATGAAGGCCACCAGGGGCTAGTTAAAACAAAGAAACTGATCAGGGAGAAAGTTTGGTTCCCTGGTATCGACAGACAGGTAGAGGCCATGATAGCTGGCTGCATCCCATGTCAGGCTGTTGTGCCCAATCATACGCAAGAACCTCTCTGCATGTCTGAGCTGCCTTCATCACCATGGGAAAAAGTTGGTGTAGACTTTTGTGGTCCATTCCCCTCCGGTGATTACCTTTTGGTGGTCATTGATGAATACTCCAGGTATCCAGAGGTGGAGATTCTGCAGTCCACGTCAGCCAGAGCCACAATTCCTAAACTTGACAAAATATTCTCGACAATGGGAATTCCGCTGGAGGTCAAAACAGATAATGGTCCACCCTTCCAAAGCTCAGAATTTGCAGATTTCGCAACATATTTAGACTTCAGACATAGGAAGATAACTCCACTCTGGCCTCAGGCAAATGCAGAGGCTGAACGTTTTATGCGTACCCTTGAAAAGGCTATACGTGCTACACATGTTGAAGGCCGCCCATGGAAACAGACTTTATACACGTTCCTCCGTAATTATCGTGCCACACCTCATTGCTCGACTGGAATGGCTCCTGCCGATGTGCTGTTTGGGAGGCCCCTTCGAATCAAGCTACCTGGATCTCCTATTTCGTTCCAGTCTCCGACAGACGCACCACTACGACAGGCAGATTCCCTGGCAAAGAATAGGATGAAACAAAATGCTGACCGGATGCGCCGTGCTGCTCTGGTGGCTCTGAGAGTGGCGACGTGGTCCTGTGACGTCAAAAGAAGGAAGGGAAGCTATGCCCTGCCTACAACCCCCAGCCATACGAGGTTATTGCTGTTAAAGGTTCCATGGTGACAGCCAAACGCAATGATCATGTCATCACCAGAAATTCATCTCACTTCAAGACTCTACCAGCAAATGCAATTCACCCCTCTCAATGTGGTTTGAAAGTCATGAGTGGTGGACGAGATGCCATGAACTGGACTGAAACTCTTCCTGAACAAACCCCAGAACACTTAGCCCCTGACCCCCCAGGGTCACAGTCACCTGTTCGTAGATACCCAGTTAGGATGAATAGAGGACCCCCATCACACCTCGCTGACTTTGAATAATGTGGACAGTAAAAAAAAAAAAAAAAAATTACAAAAGGAGGGTTGTAATGTTTACGATTTATAACATGAGACGTTGTTATATTATTTCCACATGTGATGTGTTTTAGTTTGGAAGCAGACATTGTTTATCGAGTCCATAAGGGCGCGTTTGATAGTTGAGTTGAGTCTGCGTATGCAGCGGGGAGGTTTTAGAAAAGAAGAAATAGAGTGTTGACAAGGAAATGAAAGAACTGTAACGGAGTTTGAGAAGTTCATTAAAAAGGTCTGAAAGCTACTTTGCTGTGTCATAGTCATATTCAGAAACTATACACTGGCCATGCAAGAACTGGGATGTTTTCAGCTTCCAGGAATTGTGTACAGATCCTTGCAACATGGGGCCGTGCATTATCATGCTGCAACATGAGGTGATGGTCGTGTTTGAATGGCACAAGAATGGGCCTCAGGATCTCGTCACGGTATCTCTGTGCATTCAAAATGCCATCAATAAAATGCACCTGTGTTCGTTGTCCATAACATACACCTGCCCATACCATAACCCCACCGCCACCATGGGCCACTAGATTCACAACGTTGACATCAGCAAACCGCTCACCCACACGACGCCATACACGCTGTTTGCCATCTGCCCTGTACAGTGAAAACCGGGATTCATCCGTGAAGAGAACAGCTCTCCAAATTGCCAGACGCCATCGAATTTGAGCATTTGCCCACTCAAGTCGGTTACGATGACAAACTGCAGTCAGGTTGAGACCCCGATGAGGACGAAGAGCATGCAGATGAGCTTGCCTGTGATGGATTCTGACAGTTTGTGCAGAAATTGTTTGTTATGCAAACCGATTGTTGAAGCAGCTGTCCGGATGGCTGGTCTCAGACGATCTTGGAGGTGATGATGCTGGATGTGGAGGTCCTGGGCTGGTGTGGTTACACGTGGTCTGCGGTTGTGAGGCCAGTTGGATGTACTGCCAAATTCTCTGAAACGCCTTTGGAGACGGCTTATGGTAGAGAAATGAACATTCAATTCACGGGCAACAGCTCTGGTGGACATTCCTGCAGTCAGCATGCCAATTGCACACTCCCTCAAAACTTGCGACATCTGTGGCATTTTGCTGTGTGATAAAACAGCACATTTTAGAGTGGCCTTTTATTGTGGCCAGCCTAAGGCACACCTGTGCAATAATCATGCTGTCTAATCAGCATCTTGATATGCCACACCTGTGAGGTTGATTGATTATCTCGGCAAAGGGGAAGTGCTCACTAACACAGATTTAGACAGATTTGTGAACAATATTTGAGAGAAATAGGCCTTTTGTGTACATAGAAAAAGTCTTAGATCTTTGAGTTCAGCTCATGAAAAATGGGGGCAAAAACAAAAGTGTTGCATTTATAATTTTGTTCAGTGCATATAAAAAATTGAAAATTGAATAAAAACATTTACATATTTCATAATTATTAGTATTTGGTATGTCCACCTCTTTCTTTAAAGGCAGGGTATGTAAGTTTGAGAAACTAACAGAAAACTGCTGGATTTTGAAAGTATCCAACAGAGAAACTCCCACCCCCTCCCTTCTGGGCTCCTTCCAAAGACACGCCCCCAAAACACATGAACGCGTGATGCCGACCGCTCAGCTGGAGGATGCGTTTACTAGCGCCGAGCGGAGAGGAGCGCAGTGCATGGAGTGACATCACCTTTTTTTGCCTTGTTTGCCTGTGCTGACTGTATATGCAGGTACAGGTGGTATTGGGAATTTTGACTGCTCTTCTCTTCTCCGTTCCGAATGGAAAGAGTAGCTGTGTTTATTGCAGCCCTGAGAGGACTACAGACACTCGATTTTTATACTCTCCTTTTCAGAGTATTTACATTTTAGATATGTATTGGTATATAAAGACAGTTTAAACAAATTTGGGAAAAAGTGTTTTAGAAACAAACTGCCTACCCTGCCTTTAATGACAGCAGTGACAGCAGCACTTAAGCTGACATAGACTCCTTAAGCAAAACTGAATGATCCATGCAACAACAACAAAAATCTGTTAAAAAATCATGTTAAAAATCTGCTTATTTGATTAGTGACTTAGAAATAGTCCAAAGTCCAGTATGTTATAATTTTTTAATTCATTGTTTTACAGAAATAAGTAAATATTATTTCTAAAGCACATATAAACAAAGCTTGCATTGACCAAAGTGCTGCACAAAGGACATAAACCCATTTAAAGTTTTATGAACAATTAGTATAAGCTTAAACTGAATTCTAAAATGAACAGGGAGCCAATGAAACAAGTCCAGAACTGATGAAATATGATTATGATTTTTAGTACCAGTCAACTAGCCTGGTTAAAACCAGACCATTCTCAGTTGTAACTGAGTTATGGTCTGGCAAAGCTTCATAGACAAATAATTTCCAAAGGAGCGTCACCAACGGACGTAGCTCAAATGCCTCTGGGCGCAACTGGATAGACCTAAAACAAATCAGAGCAATGAAGGAGATGACGTATGCAGAGCGACGTTCGTCTGTTATAGAACAACTTAGTTTGAATAAACGAGCAGACACTGATTAGCTACTTGCTCTACGTTTATTTAAAATTAACAGCAAGACAACTAGAAGTGAATGTGCTTTCCATTAAATTAATAACACACAGTAAACAAAACCTTAACAAAAAAACTTTGCAATGAACTTTGCAATTTAGACGCGAAAACTGGGTGCCGGTGCGGTGAGACGTACATGCTCGGGCAGATTCGGCTTGAAGTCGTTCATCCTCGGACGCGGCGCCGCGCGCACCGTTACAAAAAAAGCCTGCACACAGCCAAGCGAAATGGGGTCTTGCGCACCGAACGCGTCATTTTTGCCGCGCGCACCTTCGCGCTCGTGCGTATAAACAAGGCTTTACTCCGTGTCAGCGCGCGCTCTGATCGGTGAAGGTGCACAGACCTCTCCCGAATCATCTCCAGCAGTAGCAGCCTCCGAAGCACCACTAACTCCGCCTCCATTTCCCCCGTAAGCTGATATTAGTATTTAAACATTCTCTATGATAAAAAATGTTTGTGAAAAAAATATTTTAATAACAATATGTTTTGGTTTTGGCGGTTATAGAGTTCTAATGACGGTGTTCAACTATAACCGTCACACCCCTAGTTCCGTCGCTGTGCTGTCGTCATCGTGTAAAGCCCGCCCCAACATTTCTGATTGGTGCCGCGATTTCGACGGATTAGAAATGGGCTTGAATGAGCTCTTTGCCAGACTAACTTGCAGAGCAAATCTAAATTTGCCGGAAGTTGTCTGGGTTTTTGTTAATGAGGAGTGGGGATGTGGGAAATACCTAGAGAATTGCAATAGTCTGCTCCTGATGTAATATAAGCATGGATAACTTTTAGCAAATCATAAAAAGTCAGAAATTATTTAAGTTTGTAAATGGTTTTTAAGTAGAAGCTATTTTAACGACAAAACTGATTCGATAAATCAATGCATGGATCTGAATCAAATATAACACCCAGATTTGTTGGATTTGCCATTGCATATGAGCTAATTTGCTAGCAAGACAGTTTCTGGACTTGGAAGGACCAAATATAATTTATTTATCTTTATAATTATTAAAAATGATTTTAAATGCCAGATTTTCACTGTCTTAGACATTTGGACCCCACTGTATGTGCATTACAGAACTTTTTATGAAATATTATTTCTTTTAGCATTAGCTACATATAACAATCTGTAACAAACTCACCATTGGTTGAACCCTTCAAGATGTCAATGAATATGGGAATTTCTAAATTACCAATGTCGCTGATGTCAATGGGGATGGTGAAAACACACTGAATAAAGCCTGACTGTATCGAACCCTGGATATTGTTTACAATAGCCTGGGGGAAAAAAGAAAATTGATTCATATATCAAAATCTGATTATTTGATAAAATGTCCTCAAACGATATGCTAACAAATATTATCCTTACTATATTTGAGATCCCCAGAGCATTGTTGTAGAGTGTTGTAGTTTGGTAGAAAAACCCACCATTATTATTGCCACAGACAATGATGATATGAAGGTCCTGCAAAAAACAACAACAAAGAAAAACAGGGTTGGGTGTCATTATGAGAAGGAGAAAATGGACTTAGCACCAAGCAGACTGCCGTAGAAATGTAAAAGCAGTATTAGGTAGTTGGTTTTCAGACAGTCAAGTGAATACTTCTGCTATTGATACACCAAAAACAAACAAACAAACAAAAAACTTACGGCATAATTTTATCGAAGTTGTGTTTTGTAACTGGGTCAGAAAAACAAACAAACATGTTTAATTCGCATGCAAATTTTCCCAACCACCTCCAGTCCTCTCCGAATAGTTCTAAAGAAGTGACTGGATTATGATTTTACAAGATCACAATATAAGAGATATAAGATCAAAAGGAGGACACTTCACACTGTTACAGTTTACACTTTATTCTAGGTAACTTTTATGACAGAAACACAGCACATTATTTATAGACTATATTATCTTAAAAACAGACTAAAATGTATGTTTATTAGGCTATGTATGTTTTATTGTATGTAGAAATAGTTTTGTGTTATTTTATCATTTAAAGGAAGTAGTGATGACCTGCCAAAAGACTGTGGATAAAAATGTGCCTTTGGCTAAATTCAGAACAATGCAGGAAATGGCAAAATGAATGTTAAAAAATGTATATGGGCCCTTTTCAAATAAATTAATAAATAAAACTAAAAAATATTTAACCCTCAAATAGCAGACTGCTTAAACTATCATGGTGTGGTTGCACCAAAGATGAGGAAGGATGTAAATTCAGCAGTAAAACTTTAATAAACAATAATTCAAAATAACAAACACTCAGGAGATTTAACAACATGCAGGAACAGAACAACCAGGGCTGTATAAACATAAGGGATAGGTAGGGCTGAAGCCCCAGGCATGGAGGGGGCCCGTGATTGGCAGAGGGAAGGATTGCCAGCCAGTAATAGACCTATTATTATTATTATGTTGTTGTTATAAACCATAAAACCATGGCAGTGATGAGCATGGCTTTTGCCTGTGTCATGGTCTATATATTTAAACTCTTGATTCTGTCCAATAACTATGGAAACATTTCATTGGTGCAACAATGGAGAATTTAAGAGCTTTATAGCCTGGATCATGAATTCAGGATGAAGCTATGACTTTTTATTCTGTGTAGAATAGATATGATCAGTTCTAATGAACTTTAATTTAAGTAAAATATTATTTGAAAAATTGACAGCCTGTAATATAATGCAACATGAATATTCAACACATTTGCAGAATATTAGGAAAATGTATTATTTTGTTTCTTCCCTTTATTTAGCTATTCATTGATTCATTAATTTATTCCAATTTAAATGCCGTAACCCCAGCAAAACATTAATGGGTGCAAGGCTGGTGCCAGTATGTCTGATCGACCCCTCGATGAAACAAAAGGCCCCCCTAAGAATTAACACTTAAAATATCTCACTTCACACACACACACTTCTTCCCCTCATCCCCCACTCTTGCAGAGATCACCCAAACTCACACAAGAATCTATATGGTTTTAATGTGAACAATTATCATACAGTTTTATACATGTTTGGTATCATTTGAAATGTCTCAGTGCAACTGTACAAATGTCTCATTTCCAAATAAGTAAAACAAAAGGTAATAAGGTTTTTTACGAGTTTAGAGAAACTGGCACACAAAGGAAGATAGACAAATGGTCTTCCTTCCCCCCAAAAGGTGTAACCTCTGAATCCAGATTACCATTGTTAGCATGTTTCCATGTGAAAGAGGTTCTGGCTATTTAATGAAACGCAGCGAGGGATCGGGGCCCTTTTCTGTACTTCAGATGAGCCCGTGAGGCTGAGAGAGGCCGAGTCTCTCAGCTTCATGTATTCTTTAAATGTCGGGTTCGTCTTCTCTTTATTCCAGAACATTTGATGTTTTGTATTGATTATCTTTGAACTGATGATAAATTTACCTGACATAATAAATTGTTACATTTGATGATTCTAACTGACTTTGATATTATTTCATTAGAGTTAAAAGGAATAGTCAAACTTTCGCTTATATTTAATGATACACAGATATCATTAAAAACCTTTTTATTTATGGAGTCAGATGAAATAACGAGAGAATACATATGAAAAATGTATTGCATTTAACCCACAATACTTTGCCACGAGAAAAGAGACCTTCACCCGCTGATTGGATGCCGGATTTTGGGCCGATCGAGCCGGGCTTTACATGGGGAAACTTCTGGGACAGATGGGCTGAATTTGTCCCTCCAGTCCAGCTCTGATTATTCTCATCTTCTAAAGCCAGAAAGAAGACCTTCTAATCATGAAACTGTTTAAAGCAGGAGTGTCTGTCCTGGAGGGCCACTGTCCTGCAGAGTTTAACTTGCCTCAACACTCCTATTTAGAAGTTTCTAGTATGTCTAGTGAGAACTTGATTAGATGGTTCAGTCAACTCAAGTCAAGTCACCTTCATTTGTATAGCGCTTTTTACAATACAGATTGCTTCAAAGCAGCTTTACAGTGATAATAGGAAATTAATGCAACAAAATGCAGTGTTACATAAAGCACCATCACTTCATATAAAATATATTTGAAACTAGACCTAATACTAAAGATATTACTATAAATTACAGCAGCACCTCCCCCTTTGCCTTTAAGACGTGGCTCGTGTTTATAACGTCTCGGTTACGTATGTAACCCTCGTTCCCTGAAGGAGAGAAGGGATACGTAGTCGATGTGTCGACTGATTGGGATCACGCTTGAGGAGCCTGTCATCTTCGAGTATTGATACAACGAGTCAATGCACATTGGGTTTTGCATCTCACACTCCGCCCCGCGCACGGGTATAAATATGGAAGTGGATGCACGCACCATTTGGCCACATACACTTAGAGGGTGGAGGGAGACAGCCCTCGCTCCAAGCCATCTTGCAGGAAAGAAGCACGAAGTGACCGAAGAAGTGACCTTTCGGGGGGTCGGAAATGAGAAGAATAGGTTCCACTTCAGGGCATAAGCATGCCTCATAGAGGGTTCTCTCGCAGAAGTGATGGTATCTACGACATGTTTGTGGTAATTACCTAGAACCTCCGCGTCACGTCCTTTCGGGACCAGACATGGAGTTTTCAGAGGTCTCGACGCGGGTGCCAACGGTGCCCCGTCCCTGAGAATGTTTGGGAGTCCAGGAACCGAACCTTGTCCGCATTCGTCATATCGACCGTGCACGCCACAAAGCTCGTGCCCCGGAGGGCGAGGGCGGTTGCAGTGCGGAGCTCACCTATGAGCACACGGCCTGGGGTACCTTCGTGCATGTCCGTGAGTGCCTTGACCTGGTAGACCTGTAGCAACGCCATGGCATGCAAAGAGGAAGCGGCTTGCCCACAGGCTTTGTAAGCTCTGCCCGTCAGAACGGACGAGAACTCACAGGCCTTAGAGGGAGACGGGGATCCCCCATCCACAGAGGTGGACAGAGTACAGAGCTTTGTTACTTGAGTAAAAGTACAGATACCCCTTGCTAAATTTTACTCAAGTACAAGTAAAAGTACTACAGTCAAATGTCTACTTAAGTAAAAGTACTAAAGTACTTGTTTTTAAAAGTACTTGAGTATCAAGAGTACAAGAGTAGATTTTCTAAATATTGCATTAGTAATCTACTGCCACAGTGCTTACATTTATGCACAGAAACGTCCTACATGGAGTTATGAAAAATGTTAATGTTAATACCTTGGAAAATGTAAAAGGAATTGAAAGTAAAATCAAGTCATTTTCATCTTTTTACCATGTTGCTTTATTTAATTTAATTACATTTTTTGGGGGGTCCCATCTTTAAATGCGGGGACAACACACACACACACACACACGCACACACACACACACCACATGTAAGGGTGGCGCTGCCAATAAAACACCTAAAAGCTGTCACAAAAAACCGGCAAAAGGAATGATTATCAATTTGTAAAATATAGCAAGGATATATTTTAATTGTTTATTAATAAACACTTGTTAATAAACAAGTGTTTTCTTTGTCGGCTAAGATGAAGTTGACGATGCTGACTCGCGATATTCAGTAGTGAACGCGCCAGAGAGAAATGCACATTTCATACGGATTACATAAGCAGAGAGCTGTCTGTAGTCTGTTTTCTTTCGTTTTGAATTTTTCTGTTTAAAAGTAGACATATCTGTGAGAGGCAAGTAGGCTACCTTATACACTGAGTTTCGGTTCATTTATGAGACGAGATCCAGTTTACGTGCCGGCGCCTCCGTTTCTTATCTATCGTCTGCTATATTTACTTCTTATTTATTAAACCCAGGCAATTGGTTGATGAAACATTGATTAAAATTAAGATACAATTAATGCAAAACGAAATTCAGGTTAAAGAAAGGTTTTGTGTTTTCTGTTTGATGTCTCTGTGAAAGTTTTAAAGCATTTTTTATGCCGCTTTCAGAGCGCTCATGTCCGTAACGGAGAACACGTCCATAACATTGTTTTTTCCTCATAAATGCAAACCCGAAAAATAAAATAAAACAAAATTAATATTTTATGTACTGTGGAGACTGAGCGCCAACCCTTCTTCATTCGCTGGGTAGTAGCCTACTTTGGTTTGCGCAGTGTAATTCACATAATCAGTAAAAATATATTTTGCCTCCTAAAGTTTTTTTTTTAAGAAATCAGAAATCCCTCGTGGCTACGCCACTGCCACATTTGAACCTGACTGTGTTAAACACACCACATACTCAAGAACATCAAACCAAATGCTTGGCTTACATTAATGTGTAATATAAAATCTGACCATGGAGTTGACTTTGGCGGAAAGCTGAAAGTGATTGCTGATAGGCTGTCCCAATCAGTGGCTCCTGCACAATCCAATCACGTTTGAGAGGGAAACAACAAATTGAGGGTTTCCGAGATTTTTTTTTTTTTTTTTTTTACTTTTTTTTACTTTTTTTTTTTTTACTCGGGTACTCACGGTTATGGATAGAAATGTATTGGAGTAAAGAGTACAATATTTGCCTCTCAAATGTACTTGAGTAAAGTCATGAGTACTCCCCAAAAAATGATACTCGAGTAAAGTACAGATCCCTCAAAATTGTACTTAAGTACTGTTCTCAAGTAAATGTACTCCGTTACTGTCCGGCTCTGCCCATCCAAGAGGCAGCGGCCGATGAACACAGCTGTGTCGCAACAGACTGCTCCACTGGAGGGATAGCCTCGTAAACCTTCACCGCTCCTCCGTCAAGGGTAGTGAGGGGGGAGGAGCTACTCAGGCAGTTTCTGGCAGAGAAAGGTGCCGTCCACAACCTGGTAAGCTCTCCATGCACTTTGGGAAAGAAAGGCACTGGGGTGGTAGGCTGAGAACCAGCACGGCCCGCCCCGAGAAACCAATCATCCAACCGTGACACGGTGGAGGATTCCACTCGAGCCCAGCGGCCCATTTCACCATAGCTGACATCTCTGGACATGGCTCGGGCAACGTTACACTTCCAGAGGGAGATAACGCAGCCGAGTTATCATCTCCAGAGGTCAGTTCACCCTCCGATGCTGCAATCGGCATCCTGTCCTCTAGAGGGGCCCCGAATGAAACGTCTGGTCGGTCCATTACAGAGGGACCAGCGCGCTCAACGGGGAGCTCCACCGGCTGCGGTGTGATAGAGGAGTGGGTGGCCCACAGGGATTGGTTACCGGGCGGGGAAGCCATCACTATAATCCTCCGATCACACATCCCACACAGCACCCTTGGGGTGGGGCGTGGAAATGGGGTCTCCACCTGTGTGGACGAAGGCGAGTCTTGACCTCAACACCGCGATAGTCATGTTCCCACAATGGGAACATGAACTATCCACAAAAGCTCCCATTGTGGAAACTGATCCATTTTTCATTTTTTCAACATTCTTGATAAGAACCATTATTAGTAATTGAGCATCAATATAATGCAACTTTTAAACAGCATAACATTTTTCACAGGATCATGTTTTTCTGAGCTTTATCAGCTTCAAATCATCTTGTCAATCAGCTTGTTTTTCTCAGCTTCAAACTGCTGCGGCTAAATAGAATAGATTGCTGCTAGCCTTATTTAAGTGAATAGAAGTTTCGTTCCCAACTCATGGAAGCATAATACATTCTAGTGTATTAAGTTTTTGTAACTCTCACGGGTCCTTTCTTTTTCTATTTGGCCATTTTCTTTCAAGCTGCAGAAAAGAAACCACAACAGTCATTTCAGGTACGTACTAACTATGCATAATATGTCGAGTCACGCTTTATAGAGAAGATAAGTGATCATTATGGTGGGAAGGGACATGTTCGGTTCACTTAGTTTTGTCGTGGCTACAAGTTTTTTGTTGAGGCCACAAGTTTAATGTGTAAACAAATCCATGTGACATGGGATTTTCAGAATTTAAGTATACTTATTATTAGCATTCTTCAACAAAACATGTTACATGTTTATTATTATACTTAGTAATATAGCCTTTTAATGACTAGCCGGAATGTAATTAAATGAAATTAAATATTATAGAATTATGTTAAAATTCCTTTAAAGTGAAGTTAATTAATTTCTTGCCACCTACTGGTGCAGGCCTGGAGAAATAGTCATATAGAATAAAAGCTTTATTGGCATGATTGTCAGGCATTTATTGTATTTTTTTGTATATGTATATTCTTTAACAATTTTTGGAAAGCCATCACAGGCATGAAGTAGCCTGTCTACATTGTGCACAATATAATATAATTAATTCCTGTGTTTGTTTCCTTTTTCTGTTTAGAAGATAACTGAGCCTTTAAATCACCTTTGTAAAAGCTTTACTACATAAATAGTCCTCTTTAGGTGAGCTCACAAAAATAGTTAACTGAAAACTATTAAATGTTTAATAACTACCTGAATTAATCATGATTTACAGTAAGAATACGTGTTAACAAAGCATTTATTAACACACTGAGTAACTATTACTATACGTATATATAATAATATGTATAAATGTACATTTAAATAGTTTATTAATAATTTACTTACGCTTTCTAAATGATCTTATGAACCACTGACAACTCCTAAATAACTGATTTGTAAATAATGTAATAGTTAATATAGAAATTATGAATTGATCATTAATAAAGTATGAAAATACAATTATTAAACAATTATTAATTATATTAAACACATTACAGATATGCTTCTAAGTAATAAAAAATAATAAAGAATAAATAATTTATAGCTGTATTTATAAACTTCTTACTAATGTCTATTAATGTAGGGACAATGCTTTATAAACGATGAACTAACTATTTACTAATGCTTAACTAATGATTCATAGCATGCAGTTATTATAAAGTGTTTAAGCGAGAAGGGAATTCCCTCCCCACGGCTCATCTCTTTCAGCTCCCTTGAGAGCCAAATGCACTCGCTTAATTGGCATGGAGAGTCTTGAAAAAGGATGAAGCACCAGAGGAGAGATAACTCGCAAGCAGCTCTTCAACTGGGGCGTCCTTGTTTATCCCTGTTCACAGAGCCTCTCCACATGCGAATAGTTCGAGTCCATGGGAGAGACTGTACGAGCTGACTACAAATTCCTCCATTATCTCAACACCTCAATGTGGATACCTAAGAGTAATAAATTGCTCACAAACTTATGTGTGGGACAGTGGAGGAGGTGGATTATTAATAACACCTCAACTCTTTTTGTATTTTATTACTTAGAATTAGACGTGCCACATTAATCAGTCAGGTCAGAAGCCAGCAGGAGAAGGGGAAAACTTCCCGTCAGACTCCTTCCACTCTCTGCTACAATCCCCACGCCCTGTGACCCGAGCCGTGATGTGTAGACCCTCGACTCTTCTTCCTTAAGAGATCTTACAAATGCTAGATTCTTGTGAGAGAATAAAACAAGAACAGAGCTTCTTACTGCAGATGTATCATAATGAGTGTATTCACTTCCCTCGGAAGTCAAACATTCTCCAACAGAGTGGTATCTTGCGCATACAAACAAGTGGCTCCTGAAGAGAAACTTGTATTACAGGCACCCTTTATTCTCTGCATGAGATGTCATGGACTGCCGTCTGCCAAGGATTTATTGACGTGTGTTTAGACGTTCTTCAAACACCGGTCACGCTGATGCCATCTCTATAGCATCAACTCCATGACGCAGTGCTGAGGTTCCTCTTCAAAAGGGAACTTACTTACTTCAGACTTACCAGTTTCCTCAAAGATATTAAGCAGCAAAAACTGTTTTCAACATTGATAATAATATGTTTCTTGAGCACCAAATCGGCTCTCAATTTTATGAATTTGGTCAAAACTTGTTATCATCTTTGCTTTAAGGTAATATGGTCCACAGAGGCATTGAAGAGTGTGTTGTAAAATGTGCTTTGTATACCTGAGGGATATTAGATGTCAGTCCAGCTGCTAAAGCGATGTAACCGGTAGAGTTGCCACTGAGCTCAACAGTGAGGCTGATGTCAGTTAAGATAGCTGAGGTGAAGAAACACTGAGAGCTAGCCGAAGGATCACATCCTTTAGGGTTGTCCAAACACAGTTTGGTTTTTCCACACTCATTGCGGGTGATTTTGGACTATGAATAAGAAAAATCAGAAAAAAAAAATTAGTTAGGCCTCAATATCAACAGCCTAAACTGCTTTCATTACAATTGAATCTTGATTCTAAACAAATTACCTAATTGTCTGTCATTGTTTAATAATGGTTCTTTGAATCAAATAATTGTGGAAAGGAGTAAATGGTATTCTTACAGTCAAAGTTGTTGGTGTTGATAGGTTGCTTTCAGCCTTAATGAAAGACACTGCACAGCCTATCACGCAAACCACTAAAAACATCCGCTTACTCTCCATGTCTGAGAAAAAAGATTACAAATGTATTTAATCAAATATATCTGAATTAGTTAGTTAGTTAGTTAGTTATTTTCTTCGGTCATTTTGAACAATTAAATCTTAGGTCATATGTAATTCAAAAATCCTGTACATAATACAATGAAAAAAACATAAAACAATGAAACAAATAGAGAAAGAAAAGAAAATTTAAATACATTAGAAAGATAAATACAAAATGAGTACCTAGGAATTTAAATGCTAAATAATACCTGACCGAAGGGGTTTAGGCTGAAGTCAAGACTTATTTTGCCTAACCCCTTTTACAACAAAAACACTATGTCCAAAGATGACACAATTTTATGGTTTCTCTTATACCAAAAATGATAACATGTAAGCACAGAACTTAAACTTCAACAATCAAAATTATATTATGCATCCACTTTCGCTTACTTTTCTAATGTTCTTCATTCAAGTGTTCTATACTTTTCCATAATGTTTTACTTATATCTTTTCTTAAATGTATTAATAGTTTTAGAGCTCTTAATGTCACATGTCTGTCCGGTCTTGTGTTGCACATGGGTGTTTGTTATGTTGAGCCATGTGCTCTCGTCATTGTTTGACCCCTCCCTCTTGTTATCTGATTATTGGTTTATTTGCTCCACCTGTCTGTCTCGTTATCCTCCTTGTTTGCCTCCCTATTTAGTCTTCCTGTGTTTGCTGTCCTGTGCTCGTTCGTTGTATTTGTTACGTTGTGTTTGTGCCGTGCTTGCCTTGCCTTGCCTTGCCTTGCCTTGCCTGCTTTGTTGGATGTAGTTTTTGGTTTGTTTGTTTTTATGTTTTGTCTTTATTAAACACTTTCTCGCTCTGCACCTGAATCCACGGAATTATTTCCACACGCACCGTGACAGAACGAACGAGCCACATGTGGATTCAGCGGAGCGAACTTTGTCTGGCTGAGAGGGAGAATGGGATCTCTCTTCTCAAATATTTCTCCCTGTGTGCCCAGAGGAATGAGGAGAGGAGGGCAGCTGAGTCTTCCTCACCGGTCTCTCCTGGAATGGGATCTTCGTCATCGGATCAGTCCAGCGTTGGGAATCTGTCTATGGTTTTAACCAACTTCGAGTCTGCACAGATCCGTCAAAAGGGAGGGAGAAGGAGAAGGAGACATAATCCGTCTGCCCAGTCAGAGACTGTTCACGTCACGTCTGCTCAGCGAGAGACTGTTCACGTCACGTCTGCCCAGCCAGAGACTGTTCACGTCACGTCAGCCCAGCAAGAGACGGTTCACGTCCCGTCTGCCCAGCGAGAGACGGTTCATGTCACGTCTGCCCAGCGAGAGACGGTTCATGTCACGTCTGCCCAGCGAGAGACGGTTCACGTCACGTCTGCCCAGCGAGAGACTGTTCATGTCACGTCTGCCCAGCGAGAGACAGTGCACGCTCTGTCTGCCCAGTCAGAGACTGAGCACGTCCAGTCTGCCCAGTCTGAGACAGATCCGGAAATGTCCATTTGTGTGGCCGCCAAGGCACTTACGGACTATTTGGAATGTCTGGCGCGGATCCTGGATATGTCTGTATCTGCTGTTCCAGGGCCGGAGCCAGTGTCTGCTGTTCCAGGGCCGGAGCCAGTGTCTGCTGTTCCAGGGCCGGAGCCAGTGTCTGCTGTTCCAGGGCCGGAGCCAGTGTCTGCTGTTCCAGGGCCCCGGAGCCAGTGTCTGCTGTTCCAGGGCCGGAGCCAGTGTCTGCTGTTCCAGGGCCGGAGCAAGTGCCAGTGCCCGTTCCAGAGCCGGAGGCAGAGCCAATGCCAGTTCCAGAGCCGGAGGCAGAGCCAGGGTCTGCTGTTCCAGAGCCGGAGGCAGAGCCAGTGCCCGTTCCTGAGCCGGAGGCAGAGCCAGTGCCCGTTCCTGTTTTTGTGTCTGTTCTTGTAACAGTTTCAGTTCTTGTGGCTGTACCTGAGCCGGTGTCCGCTGTACCTGAGCCGGTGTCCGCTGTACCTGAGCCGGTGTACGCTGTACCTGAACCGGTGTCCGCTGTTCCTGAGCCGGTGTCCGCTGTTCCTGAGCCGGTGTCCGCTGTTCCTGAGCCGGTGTCCGCTGTTCCTGAGCCGGAGTCACCACCATGGCCGCCCGAGGGGTCTTCACCGCCCTGGCCGCCCGAGGGGTCTTCACCGCCCTGGCCGCCCGAGGGGTCTTCACCGCCCTGGCCGGCCGAGGAACTTCACCGCCCTGGCCGCCCGAGGGGTCTTCACCGCCCTGGTCGCCCGAGGGGTCTTCACCGCCCTGGCCGGCCGATGAACTTTGTTTCGCCCTCGCCGCCCGAATTTACTCTGTTTCGCCCTGGCCGCCCGATGAACTCTGTTTTTCCCTGGTCTGTTCCTCCCGTTCCCCCCCTGGTCGGTCCCTCCCGTTTCCCCCTTGGTCTGTCCCTCCCATCCCGCCCTGATGTTTCCTTACTGTCCCGCCTTGGCCTGATGGAGCGTCTGGTAGCCGCTCCGTAGGGAGGGGGTTATGTCACATGGAGGGGGTTATGTCACATTCTCTGCTCTGCGTGCTTGGGCTTGATCACGCTAGAGCAGCGTTTGTGGATGACTCACGTTCTCCCCGCGGGAACGTGACCATCGCGTCATTACGGTCGAGACTCAATGATCTCGTTAAAGAGAGAGAGTCCCCTCTTCACACCCCGATCTAACGGCTGGTGGCCAGGGTGACCTGAGGGTGTGAGTGTGGAACAAATCCGCCGACTGTTTGTCCGTGGACCACGCCCCCCTCTTCAGTGACGAAACCCGCGAGTTTTCAGGGGATTCCCCGGGTCTATTTTCGGATGCCCCGCGGGTTTCCCTTGACGCTCTAGAATCGGATCTGTTGTCCATCGCAGCATCACAGGGCGGGCTAGAATCTTCAGGAAGTGAAGATTCGACAGTGCTGCCACTTTCGGGTGTGCATATGGCATTTGTCGAGTCAGATCCTGAGATGACGGCCATGCTTTCCCGGGCCGCTGCGAGCATCGGACTAGAGTGGAACCTTTCACCCTGTCCGAGCGCTCGCTGCTGGACGATTGGTTTTGGGTGTGGCCGCTGACTCCTGTCGGCGTCCACTCCAATGCCTTTCTTCCCGGATGTGCATCAGGAGATCTCGAAATCCTCGAAGACCCCCATGTCTTCCAGCGATCCCTCGTTGATCTCCTCCACCCTTCCTTCCCTCGACGGGGCCACTGCCCATGGGTACACTGGGGTCCCCCCGGTTGAACGCTCTGTTGCGATGCTACTGTGTCCTCAGAGTGCTTCCTCTCGGCGCGATCCTAAGCACCCGTCCAAAGCCTGTAGTTTTTCGTATACACTTGTGGCAAATTCCTATAGCGCTACAGGACAGGCAGCCGCCTCACTGCATGCCATGGCCATTCTGCTGGTCTACCAGACCCAGATGCTCACGGACATGCACGAGGGCGGGACTGACCCAGGGCTCTTCAATGAGTTGCGCGCCGCCACTGACCTTGCTCTCCGAGCGACGAAAGTGGCCGTACGCTCCCTGGGTCAGGTGATGTCCACCATTCTGTGGCTGAACCTGTCTGATGTGCAGGATGTCGGGCGGACCCATCTGCTTAAATCCCCCAAATCCCAGGTCGGCCTCTTCGGCGGTGCGGTTGAGGGCTTTGCCCAACAGTTCTCAACCGCCCACGAGCAGACTGAGGCTTATTCTGCCCCGACGGCCCCGCCGTCCGAGCAGATCCCTCGGTCTGCCCACCGCCGAAGGCGCCCTCCTGCGGCTCCCACCCCGCCGGTTCACCCGGGCTGGCTCTGGAAGCCGCAGGGGGACGCCACAGCCCTCTCCAGCCCCGCCCCCCGCTATACGCCGGGTTAAGCGGCACTCTTGAGATGGGCTGCTCAGAGATGGGACTCAGTTCTTTCCAGGAGCTGGTAGCAGGGCCACTCCTTTCCCTGGTGGAGGGCCGGGGAAGAATCCTTATTCCAGAAAGAACTGACTCTCCCATCTCTGAGCACACAGAGTTCTCGGAAGACACGGTGCGCCGCCCCCGGGCCGTGCACCCCTCGTCCTCCTCTGTCCCAGAGCCGGATGACAGTACGCGCCGTCCCCGGACCGTGCCGCTCTCATCCTCCTCTGTCGCCAGACCCCTGGCAGAGTAGACCCCGTGGAACGTTCGTACTTCCCTGGTCTCCTCTGTCAGGACGCGGTCTATGACTGTACCCCCACACCGGGCCGCTATGCCGTCCACGTCTGGGTCAGCAATACCGCCTCGCTGCTCCACCGACGGGAAGTCTGTGGTTCGCATGACCCCGCTGGTACAGTCCTTGGGAGCCTGTCTAGAGCTTCCCAACCTCTCCCGCTGGGTCGCGTGAACGATCAGGCTCGGCTACGCGATTCAGTTTGCGCGGTCTCCTCCCCGCTTCAGGGGAGTCCGCTCCACTATGGTTGGTGGCAATGCCCCTATCATGAGAGCGGAGGTTGCTACCCTGCTGGCAAAGGGTGCAATCGAGACTGTCCCTCCAGCCGAAATGAGGACCGGCTTCTACAGCCCGTACTTCATTGTCCCGAAGAAAACCGGTGGGTTACGGCCAATCCTGGACCTGCGCGTTCTGATCCGCTCCCTTCACAGGCTGCCGTTCAAGATGCTCACCGCCAAACGCGTTTTCGAATGTGTGCGGCACCAGCCGAAATGAGGACCGGCTTCTACAGCCCGTACTTCATTGTCCCGAAGAAAACCGGTGGGTTACGGCCAATCCTGGACCTGGAGCTTCCCGGCATGTTGTTGTAACGACAGATGCCTCTGCCACGGGCTGGGGTGCCATGTGCAATGGACGTGCTGCCGCGGGCTCCTGGACAGGACCCCACCGCCTATGGCATGTCAATTGCCTCGAGTTGCTGGCTGTACGTCTTGCTCTGCGCCGCTTCCGGGCCGTGCTCAAGAATCAACACGTACTAGTCCGATCAGACAATACCGCCACTGTTGCGTACATCAACCATCAAGGTGGTCTACGCTCCTGCCGTATGTCGCAACTCGCCCGCCAC